TTCCTCCAGTGAACTTCAGCAACGCAAAAACGCAGCATATCCTACTCGCGTCCAACATAAACTCTCACCTGTGGGGGGCCGTCCTTTACTGCTGCGATCTTCTGGACCCAGAGCGCATGCACGACAAGAGAAAGGAAAGAATTCAACATCTTTGTAACTTCGGTGCTGTGGTTGTGACGACGTGAGAATTTTTCTATTGCAGTCGACTGGCTACTCGAAGGAGTGCCTTTGACATGTGCTGCGTTATCATTCCTCTCTGGACCTCTCAAAGGCATTCTGGACGGTGGAAGTGGTAAATCCCAGGTGTCTCAAACACAGGAACTTCATCCGTGATCGATACCAGGAAGCGACTCACTGCAATCGGCAAGGACATGCATGCGCTATCTTCTACCTTTCTTCCGCGAAATATATGCAGTATAATCAAGATCGTTTCGTCCCTTCCCGTTATGTTGGAGACTTCACGAAGACTTCCGCCTGGAGAATCAGGAGTATAAATGATCGATGATACAGTCGATGACCACACGCAGTGGCAGGATTAGTCTGCCACAGTAGTAGGAATGGTCTGGTGTGAACTGCCACACGCAGTAATAAGAGTGAGCAACACATGAACGGAATCCCTTGATAACGTCCCTTGAAAAACATCCTCATAAGAACACATCCGCAGAAGAGTGCCTGCTTTCATCTCGATTCGTGAAAAAAAAAGACCTGGAGTGGAGGTGGGGGGGGGGGGGGGGGGGGAAAAAAAAAAGCTCCGGGGCATTTCACATCCACTTGCTGATAACCCCGACTGAAACGACCAGCCTATCAAAGATGATGCAATCATTAGGGCGATATTATGTTCGGTATTTTAATCAGATCTACCAGCGTACAGGGACGTTGTGGGAGGGGGAGGGAGAAAGAAAAGCTCCACGTCATCGAATTTTCACAATTGAAAGAAAATTTTGATGGGTCCTCTCCACTGGAAAGACACGTATTGGAGTGAAGGTGAAAGGGGCACGAATGAAGTCCATCTCCCGTTCTCCTTGTCGAATACACGTACATGAGCTGAGGCCCTGAGCCCCGTCGGACTCTGAAAGCTCTAATTGCACATATAATGTAGAAATATGGGGAGAAATTCCAAGGTATTCATATGGACCAGAAGCTTCTCCGATATCCACCATGACGGAAGTGATACTATAGCACATTTTCGTGTGAAATTCATTCGAGAATAATTAACACGAGAGGAAAATCAACACGAAATTAACACGAGACGAAACGTTTTGTTTTTGCAACTTATCTTTCACCAGCGAATATTCCGAGTTAAGGTACACGCGTCGTAGAGTTTTGAGGAATTTGGGTGGATTTGGATTCCCCCCGTCGGGACACAGAATTTCGATAAACCCGCGGGGGGTTTCGTGGAATCGTCTGAACGTCGTGTGAGCGTCCACACACCCGAGGGTGATTCCAAATTTCCCTCGCTCAAAAATTGCCCTTCCCACGGCTCCACTCGTCCCACCGCGGGCGATTCCTCTTCCGAGTGTGCATGGGTTTGTCGAAGCGAGAAGAGTGCGCGCTGTCAGCCTCTAATGAAGAAAGAGACGCGTGGAAGATGAAAGAGGCGAATCGTAACGTCGACAAAGGGAGAAGTCACTTAAAATCTCACTCCACCCGTTTGGATGTTTTCGGGGACTCCCGCCGGTATGAGAGAGCTCGAGGAATCCCGTCCGGGAGATATCATAACGGGTGTCTAATCCCCGGTGCCTAAACCCCATTCCTCGAACCCTCTATCGACGACCGTTCTGCAGGAATGCGCCGCACGAGTGAGCCGTCGAGGTGCCCGATGACGTCACGGTGTCCGTCAACGCTTCAGGGACGAAAAGATGTCAAGCTGGTGGGCATTCGGGATCTATCTGCAAGAGCAAGAAGTCGTCTCGGGAAACCTGTCACCTCTCCAAATGACGTTCGTAAATTATTGACTGCTTTATTTTAAAAAAAGGAAATGGAAAACGCAAAATTTAATCCCCCCGCCCCCCAGGGTTTCTTGATTGTTTTCCCCAAGGAATAAAAAAATAATGAAAGCCGAGGCAGCAAAACCGAATGATTTGGAATCAATTGGATACGATGGAAGGATTTCGAGACGATTTCACTAAACCGCGCACGTTAGTCGAGATTCTATATCCCATTAAGGAGATTCTGATTCCCTCTGAATTCCTCATCACAGTTCGACTAAAGGACGTTGACTGCCTGAACCCGCATCGGAAGGAGATAACAGGACAGGAGTGGATCATTTGGACGATGGTTCAATTTTTTGCTCTTGGACGGATCCCCTCGTGCGTGACTTTCGCAACCCACACCCTCTTCCACGCATTCCTCATCTTCACTGGTTTTAGCTCGTGCGTGGCGGCGGGCGAGGAGGGTTTTATGCGCAACGAGGATTCCGTTCTCTCCCGTCCCTGCACAAGCGGGTCTCATTTTCTGCCTTTTTTCCACGTACCTGTCGATTCTCACGCCTATTGCGTGAGACTCTCTCTTTTTTTGCGCAATGCAACGCACTCACGCCAGGTCTGAGAATTCTCACGCATTCCATTCGCTGCCCGTCAGCATGGCAACTGTTGATTAGTGTGAAACGGATTTATGCGGTGACGCGGCGGCGGATGCGAGGGAAAACGACCTCCCTCCCCCCCTTTGGTCCTCCTATACATTTGTCTTTCACTTCCCAGAGCATCCGTAAATGATACATGGCAAGCAAAAGGATTAAGGGTTTTCTTTCATCAGCCTCTTCTCATGCTATCTTCTCTTTCACTCTTCACTTGCTTAGTAATCCCCCGCCCCCCCCCTTCACCGCTCGCCAGTCTGCCTGGCAGTCCCTTTAAGAATAATTTATGAATCCGCGATTGCGGAAGAGTAAACTGCAAATCTCACTCCAAATCGACACGAGTCTTTCTCTTGCCTTCATCACAAGGTTGACAGGTATGTTTTATAGTACTCCTAATGATCCAATCGACTATATTTGGGAGTTATCTAGAGATTGAACCGAAGACTTCGCACCCCCATCGAATCTAGAGGATTCTCCCTCTGGCATCTTCCGAGGCGGAGGAACAGTTGGAAACGGAGCGATACGGAAAGATGGCATAAGGCAGGTCATGCCTGACTCAATCATGCATATTCACTTCAATAAGAGCTCAAGGAGTATTTTATTTTTATTTTTGATGGGGAGGAGAAAGAACGCTCGAAGAGGTTTGGTCCAAGTACGTATACAGATCACCTTAGAAAATACGTATGCTGTGGAGAAGTCGTAAGGTTCGGTTTTATTTGATTAATTATTTATTCATTTATTTTAAAGGAACGATGATTTCCCACACTCATCAATTGCGTTCATACTCACGCATGAACGTTAAAATCGGTATACTTCTTTCCAGGGGCCAGATCTTTGAGCCTGCCAAGTTTTGCGCTTAATGATCCAGTACTTCCGGAGATCAAGTAGTACGTGGTTGGGGTTCTTCTGGAGACGGTCCACACCATACGGAAAAAAAACTACCGAACCGCTTTCAATCAATTTGCTGTTTTTTTTCTTGACGGTGTTTCTTTAGGGCATTGCAAGCAGTGAACCATTGTACTTGTGGCACAGAAACCTGCCTTGCGTGAACAATCTGTCTTTACAAATGAATTTTGTGTTGTTCCGTTTCAGCACCACGAGCGTATTTTGGAGGTATCCTAGTGTGCACAGAAGTACTGAAAAGCAGTTGCAAAAGCCCGCGGGCTGTCCAAGAGCGAAACTCAGCGACACTTTTGCAGTACTTCTCTTTCCTCATGGTCCACTGGAAGTTCACTACCTTGCAGTGGCCCATCCAGAGTGTATATTAGTGGGGGGGGGACTGCGAGATGCACAATTTCACTTGGTGCGTGCGCCCTCGAATAGGCAATACAGCCATTCGTCTTCCACTTCCGCGGAAAATCATAACTTGAACGGAATCTCAGCCGAAAGTTCATTTTCCTGGACTATTATTTTTTATCTGAAACAAAAATCGGGACCCATCACGATTCCGAAAGCGGAAGATTATTTGGGGGGGGGGGGCGAATTTCCCTTCTTATTAGTTTGAAACCTTCAAGGCTGCGAATAAGTCCGATATTACTAAACGCAACGATTTTCATGGATGAAAGTTTTGCTTCGGTGAAACAGCTTGGTCACCTAACTATATTACCATTTAAAAATTAAACCTAATTTAATTTAATTCCAACAAACCTGATCAAATGTACTTTAAAAGTTACTCATCTACTGACACGGACTACAGCTTTGGTTGCACAACTCATCAAAAGAGGAACAAATTTTCCCTCATCTGTCAACCAGTGTTACGTAACTAATACACTGGGCTTTCAATTTTGCGCCACTGCACTCCCATTCCCCAACACCCTAATCAAGAGGAAACGTGGAATCAAGTTGGTTTTCACATTTTGGTTGAGAATGAGGCTCAAGCCTGGGCACTGGGCTTCAAATTGTGGAAGTCACGTTTACGTGGTAGATGAAGGTAGCACTGCTGCAATAATGGCATAACTGAAAGGGAGGGATTTTTTTGTGCAACAGTAAATACGAATTATTCGTTTTTGACCATTTAGGACCCTCCTTGAATACATGCCTCTACGAAATGTCTGATGGAAATATCGGTCCACCGACGCCTTGCATTTTGATTGGGTGCATCACGGACTAATAGGAGCGGGCCAGAATTTATCTGCGCTCCTAACTCTCTGGGCAAACAAAACTGTGGAACATGGTTTCTGTTTCAGCTGAAATGTCTGTTAATGGTTAATCCAATTTGGCTTTTGATACACCATTTTAGCTCAACTTCGTTGCCCTTACTTTGAATTTGATCGACTCTCACACTGGTCCCGCATCAGGAATAGACCAAACACTTCTATACTGTTCATGTCCCCAATCCTCACAACATACAAGAAAGAGATTCTTCCAAAAATGTAGTCTTGACCAACTAACAGACCAAGCATCTAATCTGAATGAAACGAGAATGATCAACAGAATCCATCGCTTGCAATTCCATCATTATCATCTTCAAATCATCCAGGGGCAGAAGGAACAAGAAAAACGGAAACAACTGGTAAAAAAAACACAGAATAACAAACAAAAACTTTACAGGAGGTGGGGAGCGAAGTGAGAAAGATTTGGTCCTTCAGGTTCACACAAAATTTTCTGGCATCTTCACTCACTCATTTTCCTTTGAAAAACAAAAAACATGCAAGCCAACAACCAGTCACAGCTCAGGATCCATTATATACAGAGAAGGCATCATCACGCTGCTTGTTTCTGCATGCTTAAATGAGATCGTTTCATTCATCAAATCATCAACCTTATCGAGCAACTGTTTTGTCATTCATCTCATGCAGCAACATTCAATCAAACACAGACCTACAGCCTAAGTTGCTCATTTGCTTTTTTTGTTTTTTTTTCTTATTTTCAAAGGAATTTTTTATTTACAATATGTACATTGTCAAATTTTTCAAAGGACATTCTTTCAAAATAAGTATTTTCTGCACAAAAATGTATCAGGGAAAAGTCCATTATTTACAAGGTCATGCTAGCAATGCCCTCGCTCCTCGAGCCTTCCATTCTTGAGCAGAAAAAAGCAGGGAAATCTACTGTTCGTGTCTTCTGGGGCATGTCAGCCTGGACTCTTCATCTCAGCTGGGAAAGGCTTTTGCAAGCTCAACTTTCTCTCCCTTTTTTTTGGGGGGGGGGAAGGTCAGCTATAAAAAACTGTACAGAGTGTACCTAAGGGAAAGGAAAAAATTTCACAATTCCCCCCGATACAATTCCTCTCTTGATTTATACATGGAAGGGCTGAGATATCACAGTCTCTGGTAGGAGTCGAATACAATAAAAAAAACGGAAATGTACATCTAGGCTACAACGGCTGTGGTACAGTATGCCACGTGAAGCGTAGACATGTCAGTACATGGGAATTTATCACACTCTCACAAGCACAGTTCTTCAGTAAAACAAAATTTCATCTTGCTCCTTGATCATTTGATATTATGAGTGGGGGAGAAAGGAGTTCCTCCAGACAGTTGAGGTATGAGGAATTACAGTGCCTGTTGCTTTCAGTACGGGAATGTACCATGTCTACCATAATTGATGATTGCAAAAACCTTCCCAGTCAGAGCATACACTAACCTTTTCATTCCTCATTTTTCAAAGTCGTCCCAGACTGAATCACACATGCGAGTTCAGATGCAAAAACAAGACACAAGTTTCCCGCATGGAAACGAATGCAAATCAAGAAACATAACATGGTTAAAAAGGGGAGAAGCAGCAAAATGAAACGGTGAAACAAGGAGGGAGAAGTTCACAGCCCAGTCAGTGGCCCTCCTATGGGACCCAGTTCATTGTTCTTGAGGAAATACTTCTCAAGCTTTGCCAGAATGTGCTTCCCGTACGTGTATTTTCGAAGAGTGGCCACATGAGGCTTAATTTTACTCATCAACAGTTTCCGCTGCTGTGGTTCGGCCAGGTCGAGCATCTTCTGCACGACGTAGTTAGCATACTGGTCCTTCATCATTGTTTGCAGTGGGCCTGAAGGACTGCAATGGAGAAATGACAAGAGTATCAGCAACACACTACCTGAATCACTTAGATGGAATGCACAAAGAATTCAGCTCACCCATCACTGTACATGCAGACTTCTTCTATGAGGAGGCTCCGCTCAGCACGAGTTGCCCATTGGATGCACTTCTCCACAACATTGGAAGCAAACTTATGCTGGGAAAGTGGCAAAACTTTCCCTCTGACAACTCCTATTATCTTGGATTTGTCTTCTGGTTTTCCATGCTCTGCATGAAGAATGACTTTTAGAATGGAGTTTTCATGAAGTACCAGAGTCAAAGTAAAAAGTGGCAACCTGGAGTATCTTATAATTAAATAATTTTTGATGCTCACCCAAAACATGTTGAACAACATAATTCCCATATTGATCCTGAATTAGTTGCTCTGTGTGTGCATGCAGTTCTTCAAGGATTGGGGTGGTTTGTTCAGGAGTGCAGTGCTCCAATATCCTCTGGATAACACGACATCCATATGGATGGGTAGACAGGGCAAACACCTTTGAAAGGCAGATAAATTAAAATCAATACAGTTTCAAAAACACCTAGAACTTTTACCGTATGAGCAATTCTCAGCTCTCATTGACTGAGATGATCAGACTACCAATACTGCAATGAATCAATCCTATCAGATCAGAGGAATACAAAGAAAGGTTTGAGGGGATACATTTGGTTTCTAAATACAAAGTTATTCAGACAATGTGACTCAGCGTATTCTCTTCATAAGATTGACATCCAATGTTCACAGCTTTATTGATGGCAGTGGGCTACAATTCACTATGTGCTAAATATATTTTGGTTTCCTTAAACAGCTGCTCAAAATTTTGCAAAAAATTTGATTAACTATTGGCCTACAGATGGATTTCATTCACGTACATATGTAATTGCCATACTCTACTAATCTGGAGATCAGAGTCCATAGCAGGTTGGAGAGTGACTCCAAGTTATCTTGACCAACTTGTATTTTTATTTTTTAAGAACAGATTGGGGTGAAGACCAATATAGTAGATTCTATTTAGGAGGAAATTAACCCTTCAAAGAGCAAGCTTTTTCTGGAATGTAGTGATTTGCACAGATTGCCAAGAATATTGTGTTAGATATGAAATAAGTTGGGTTAGGGTGGGTTTAAGGGTTTTGCAGCACATTCAAGGGGAAGTCAGAGAACCTATTGGTAAGTTTGTACTCCTTAAGAGGTCAATGGAATAGGGAAGAAATAGTATCTCCACTGAAATCACAAGTTGTTGGATCTCTTTAACACCATCCAATGAGGAACCAATAAGGGTTAGGAGAGGAAATTTAAATCTGTCATACTGGACAGAAATGATATTTCAACCAACCATCAGGAGGGGGCAGGGATAGACTAGTCACCTGCCATTTCAAGCAATTTCAGCCATATTGAATGTCTAGGACAGTAGGTCTTGGAAAGCAGACTTTTTTGTTGTTGAGATTATGGGGTTAAGAATTGAATGAGGCATCACTGAACCATTTACTTTCATTCCCACAACCTATCTCTCCCCCCATTACTCATGCAATTCTTCCTCTTACCCTGGAGTTAACAGACATCTTCATGTCCTCCTCTGCTTCTTTCTTGTAACCCACAATTTTAGCAGAAACATTAGAAAGAGCTGAGGGTCAGCAGAGAAGTTATGTCTAAAAAGGGTATATAAACTGTAAATGAGGGCTGTTGACAAACTTCTTGGACCAATTTCACCAGGGTACCTCAATTGTTCAGAAACCAAACCATCCCAGGAAGAGAGGCTGCATTGATAATAGAAGCAGGGGCCACCAATGGTTTTAGAGAAAACCTGAAGGACCTATATGCCAAACCACAAGTTCAAAAAAGATTGACTTGAATAAGTCATATACCTACTCCTTTACATAAAGGGCATTGTGTATGCCCTCCATGCTACCTGAAGTTACTGGAAAATTTGAGCGATTCAAGTGTTCTCAAGCAAAAGGAACCCATTCTGAGGGCCAAGAAGTTGCCCTTTCCACAGAGTATCCTTAAAAAAAAACCTACCTATTTGAAGAGACCAAGAACTTTTGCAAACTTGCTTACAATTCCATTTCTATTCCTATAGACTTACTTCCTCTTTCTTTGTCCTACACTAAGCAGAATTCAGCATCATGTCCCTTTGAAGAAGGGACATGATGCTATTTGCTTGCAAGCCAAATAACAAAACTAAGCTAGATCTGGGCCTGACACTCCTACCAAAAAAACACAGGCTTACACTTGCAGAGCAGTGTGGAAGGGATTGTTTGAAGGGGTATCAACCAAGGAGGTTGTACTGCACCCCATGCTTCCAATGCATGCTCAACAGTGTGCTCTGAAGCAAAAGTAATGACATAAGAAGGAACGGACCTGTCCCTGAAAAGCATTGATGATGAACTGCAAAGCTGATGGATCCACACACTCGATGCATTTTTGAACCACATGATTCCCATTTTGATCCTTGACACATTTCAACACATGATTGTCCAGTTCTTTCACTAACTCCTTCTGTTGTTCAGGAGAAATGGATTCCAAAGCCTTCTGGATCACACGACAACCATACATCTGGAGCGCCAGGGGCAACACACTTCCTCGTACCTGAATCACCAGAACAACATGAATTTCTGCAGAGCAACATTAAGATAAGATTCTTTCAGTGAAAAAATAAAACAAAATCGAACCTTCTGTGCAAGTGCAGTCTTCTGTTCAGCCGTCCCAAACTCAAAAAACTTCTGAATGACATAGTTGCCAAACACATCTGTCATGAGGACATATGCTGCAGACACAATTTCATTAAATACCATTTGTTTCTCAGGGGTGGATGCACGTTCTAGTTTTTGCTGAATGAAGCGAGACCCATGTTGGTCTTGTGAGAATTCCACAAAATGGTTTGTCAAATCACGCAGACTGAGGGAGGGAAATCGATTGTTCCTGAAAAACCAAAGCATTCCCACTATATGTTACCAGTCAATTGCAAGAGAAAAGTCAAAGAGAACATGACCCACCTGAAATCTTCAAGTAGTCGACTCCTACCAGATGGTTTTTCCATTGGAGGTCTCCTGAGGTTCTGGGGGAATAGTCCACCTGACCAGCCCATACCTAGAAAAAGGCAAATAAATGATGAATGCATGTGAAAACCTGAGGGTGAAATGAAGTGCAACTAAGGACTGACCAGAAGAGAGTCCAGATCGGAATTTGTCGGATCCAGGAGTGGCTGGGACTGGGCGTGTTGGACCACCAAATAATGCTCCAAATGGCAAGCCACCAGCTCCTCCTGGAAGCGTTGGTGTGATGGGTGGCGGTGTCAAATTCCCACCTGCAAGCCCTGCAATATCGTTGATTTGAACGTCAAGCTACACCCCAACAGTCAACAGCTGGATAGTTTTTGATCAATGACTTCTCACCCAATGGTCCAAAAGTCTGAGACCACTTCCCACCACGGTAATCCATTGACGAGGGGAAACCAGAATTGTTTCTTTCCATGGAATCTCGTCGTCCATTACCACCCACACCTACAGTTGAGAAGGGATCTAATGAAGAGTTTCAAATTTGGTCTCATGAAAGCCACAGTTGAGTCTGCTACAAAAGTGAATTTCAAAACTGCATGAGTCTCAAATTGATAAAACTAGACTTGTACACACCAGGAGTTCCATTAGGATTCATAATCACTGAGGCTGGAGATATGAGTCGCAATGGGCCACCACTCCGCATGTTGCTCATAATGAGGGATCCACTTTGGTCATAATATGCTGGGATCACCTGGTATCCATTTCCCTGCATCTACACAAAAAATAGTTCATGAATGATAATAAGCATGACTAATGACTCCACAACCAGACTTCAGGAAAAATAAGTCCATGCCTGTCCAGCAGCAGCTGCTGCTGCAGCAGCAAGGACATCAACAGGTGAAGAGGCTGTCTGTGATGGGGAGAGGGCTCTGCGGGACTGAGGTAAGTGATTTGGACTTCCAGCAGGACCTGGTCCTGGTCCACCACCACCTCCCCCAGCTGTGCTCACTCCTGGGCTACCTTGTGCTGTTGCTGCTGCAGCTGCTTGAAGCAAATTTGCTGGATACATTCCCCATGGTGCCACCCCATAATATTGTGGCATAGCTGTTCCTGCCAACACAAGTCCAGGCTTAATGATGCAGTGCTCTGGCTGTCACCCAAGATATTCAGATGATCAATCACGATCAAGTTTTTGGATTTTTGGCAAAAATAAATTAAACATGTGATAGTAAAGAAAGAAGATATACCTGCAAATAATGTGCCTAGGTAGGGATCTTGAGGATTGATCACATATGGTGTTGCACCAAAAGGTCCAGGAGCAGTAGGAGGAATCCCAAGCTGTTGGTACTGCTGAGCCAACAAGGGATGCTGAGGCATGGGAGGGCCACCATTTCCTCCACCCCCCCCTCCTCCCCCACCCCCCCCTCCTCCACCACCTCCAGGCCCACCTCCACTGCCAGGTCCACCTCCATTTCTGTACAGCTACAAAAAAAAAAGTTTGATGTACCATCACTGACTATAATGCCATGTGGGTATTCTGAGAAAACCACAGAAATTTTTCTTTGACATAACACAAACAAAATCATTATACCAAGGAATGAGAAAAACCTTTGTATGACTGCTCAGTTTGAAACTGGCATCATACTTCACATGAAAAAATTACAATATGTCTGACTTAAAAACATCACTCATGACTCAAAATGAGGGTGACATTTTCACACAATTACTTCTCCTATTGTTGATGCCAGTGTCAAAATGCTGCAATAGAAACATTCCTAACTTAAAAACAAGAGACAGACTGATATATTGGTTGGCAATATAAATCTACCAATATAGGCATATTAGTATTTACATCGATTCTACTTCTGACATCGGCAAAAATCTGATTGTTTGAAAGAGTCTATGTAAATCTACCAATATAGGCATATTAGTGAGTATTTTTACATAGACTCTTTCAAACAATCAGATTTTTGCGATATCAGAAGTAGAATCCTGCTTGATCTATACAGTGAAAGAAAATATGACTAGGACTATCGTTTTCACACCCATATGGACACCAAGACATGTGATACAGCCAATATGGCATCATCCAAGAGGCAAGGAATTGCTGGTCTTTTGCTCTGCTTGTGTTCCTGGTCTGGCTGATAGAGACAGAACTTCACTCTAAGGCCTATGGTTTGCAGCCTAACTTCATTGAGTTCATAAAGGAGAATTTGAAATAAAATGAAGCTGTCCTGTTGATTCTTCAATATGGTTTTGCGTATGCTGAAATATCAGCCAATGTTGTATCAGATATTGGCTTCATATATTGACCAAAGTTGGAATCTGTAAAATCCAATTTTGGTTGATCTATTAAAAACTACTCAAACTGAAAGCCACATACTGTACTACCATTCATCCTCACAGAGTCCATGGGAGGTGTTCATTAGGCTTAACTAAAACAGCCCTTAAGTTGCAGCAGCTGCTCCAGAAGAGATTCTGGAGCAGCTTCTCCTCTATGAGGCTACTGTGTAAAACAAAACTCAAGTTTGCAAATTTGTTCAGTGGCCATTTTTTCTAATAAAAAAAATGGATCACAGAACATACTGCACTAAATACTCCAAGTACTACATAAGAATACTGGTACTAGAATACAAAGAATAACCAGTAGTCGCCCTATTGTTCATTATCAGTTAAATGAGACAAGAAAAGGTTAGGAGTGGTTTATGGGCTGCATAGGGATTTGCCAAAATTTTACTTTAAGGGATGGGAAGAATTACTGTAGAATCATGCTAGATGTGCAAGTGACCTCCTGCCTTTGGAGATTCACATGATGAATGATCTCATCACCAGTGCAATGTGATTCAATCTTTAAAACACAATTCAATCTTTTCAGACTTTATATAACTATCTTTTACTAATGCATGCTGAAATTTAGGATGTAAAGAAAGGTTCAGATCCACAGATGTAAATAGTGCAGAAACTCAGCATGTTACTAGTGGTAACAAAATGCATAAAATTAAATTACACCCAGGAGAACTTACAATATTTCGATTTTCATACACTCCTGTTCAAGAGTGTATGAAAATCATGGGGTGTCAAGGCATTAGCTGCTAAGCTAATTAGTGTGTGAAAATGTGGTCCACCAATCCTAGGAAAATTTATTGGCTATAGAGCATGGCAGACATATTTCATGCCTCCTTGACACATGCAACAGCTCTTTCTAAAGTCTATTCACATTCAAAAATGGGAAAAAACTTGATATCCTTAGAGTTTCATGATGCATGCATATCTTCTGACACCAACTCATGGGCTGAGTATCTTTTTTCTGCTGTTTTTGGGTTCTTCTCAAGGTCTTTCACACAAAAGCTTTGATGGGAGGCAGATAAATAATCTGGAATCAGACATTGTATGGCTCACTTTTATGAGGGATTGTTATAAAGAAACCCCAAAGTTGTTTGCTTGTAACCATGGAAGAGGCTTCCAAATGTAGCTGATATTTGACTGAGTGGTTGGTGGGGGGGCTACAAGGTTTTCTGCAAGTTTCCCATGCATGTGTATGGGGGGAGGGGGGGGGCTGGCATTGAATAGGAAAAGGTAAGCATTGGAAAATGTTGTGCACATGTTAAATGCAGTGGTCAGAATAGATGGCAACCATTTTTAACAGTTGTTGCCATGGAGGAGAATAAATTGTGGATGTTGTATTTCCTATGATTCTCCCATTCCTAACATTATATAATTTATAAATATTCTCTAATGTACACCTGTGCATATCTGACCATAGCTCCCCAGCCTCCTTTAATCCACATGCATAGGGAGCTAAGCAGGAAACCTTACAAAACCACCTAAAGAACCACCATCTTACTAAATAAATTTCAACTCCATTAGACTATACCTTAGATTGTACAACTCTCGAAAGTTTCAAGATTAGTAATGATCCTTGAAACATATGATTAAACAAAAAAAAACCAACAAATTTCCATAATCCAGTAAAGATCAATACTTTAATCAAATTGAGTTGCTCCTAAAATTATTCCCAGTTTCATTGCACCAAAGTGCCATTAGCAATCACAGGTGAAGAAAGTGGGTATAGCTGCAAATACTTACCAGCTTTATCCTTTCCTTCAGTGCCTCATCACTGTAGAACAGACTGGTTATATGCATTCGAAACTTCTTTTCACAAACCTTCATCTTTTAATATAATAACTCAAATATCTTTGGTGAATGTCAGTGCTTACAAGACTTTGTACTGTTAATATAATCTCTGGTTTTTTGATCACAACCGTGAAAGTATTGCACGTGTAGAGGAGGAAAATACTGACTCAAATCACAGCTTCATCTGAGGAGAAAAAAAAAAGAACCTAGTAAAATTACCCAACAAGAATATAATGTGCAAAGGATGAGGGAAGGCTGAGGGGAATGGAATATAATTTTGAACAGAAGTGTAAATGGAATTTCCAATAGTTTTTTACTTCTGATTTCAAAGTGTGAACATTAATCAGTGCCTGTGATGGATGGCAGTAAACCCTCACAATGGGAGACCAGGCTAAGTATCAAAGTCCATCAGAGCAGAAACCTCATATACAACATCAATATCTATTGCTGAAAAAGGTAGCTAACAACTGAACAGGGTTGCATGATTATTACATGAACTAAGTGCAACCTAAGTGGATAAGTCAGCAGCAGGTAATAGCATCACCTAATAAATGTGTCATGAACTGAGTAACACATCCCAACAATGAAGTCAACCTATAAGAAACACTGCCAGAGGATTCTGTACAATGAGAGCTGAAATGAGGAAGAGGGCACTGAGTGAAAATTTCAAAAAGGGCCACAACACTGTCTGAATGCCTTGGAGGGCTGAACCAGTGAAGGAGGAAAGGAGGGAGAAAGAGTGGGAACAAGGCAGAGCACCACGACCATCATGGCTGTGGCCACTGGCCTGGTGGGAATCATTTCCGCTCCACTCCACAGGAAAGCATGGAACCCCTAAGGGTATTCCATGGGGCTATGACATTGGAACATATCCCAAGGCTACTCATCACACACATGACACTATCATCCAGGTGGAGGAGTACACCATGGAGAGACTAATGGAGGAACATATTTGAAACAATGAGATGCAGTCCATGAGGAGTGGCTCGTGACTTCCTTCATCAAGAGCATTACAAGGAGTGGGTAGTGCATGACTCAGATCATCCACGGGCCAGCATGGTTCTTCACAATAGAGGAAGGGCAGATAATTATATGGGGACCTCAATTAGAATGCCCACAACCCCTGAGGCAATGGAAGGGCATAGCTAGGAGGGGAGAAAAGCAAGCAAGCATGCAACTAGCCAGCCAGCCAGTGAGGCAGAGAGGGAGGGAGGGAGAGAGAGAGAGGGGAGAGGTGGGGAGAAGGGAGAACAGAGAAGGGCAGGTGAGTGTGCCTGGGGGTGAACCATCCGCCTCTGCCAACTCCTTTGCAGCATAGGGGAGAGCCATACAGCTTTGCCAACTCCTTGCCTAACAGTTTTGTCTTAGAAGAAAATTACTACTACCCAGCTCTTTATATATTCTTATCCTCTTATACTTGCCCAATATGTACTGTATTCTTATACAGCACCAACAAAGGACTCTGCGGTGTAGGCATAAAAATGAGACCACCACAACTCAAGAAATGGGTGAAAATGATTGAGGCAAATTTCAATGAGGAGGCTCATCAGATGAATGGCAAGGATGAAGGGATGTATGATGTCTCACAGAAGCGACTTAGGAGGCTCATGATGCAGCCTATAAGCCCAGTCAAACAAAGGCATGCAGCATGAAAATGCTGTGTCATTTCCATTGAAACCCCTGTTCAAAGACTATTAGCAGTAGTGAAGTGAAAGGACACAAAGAAATGCTTCTTGTCAGAATGAAAACCTACACAGGACAGAAATGCTTCTTCACTATCACTTTCTCTCCTAGATGAACTAAAGATTTGCTCAAGGGCCAGAATCCTCATAAATTCTCCTGAATCAGAATGTATTAATGCAGGGGTGTCAAACTCAAATCAGTCGGTGGGCCACATTCCTTATCCTGCAGATGCCTGCAGGCCGCATCCATACTTTTTCACCAAAATTTGTGCTAACAATCCAAGTGGAAATTTCAAGAACAGACAGCGGGCTGAATCCAGCATGCATGTTTCACACCCCTGTATTAGTGCATAAGCATATATAAGTGAATGGCTGAACAAGGCATTTGAATGTAAGGGAAGAGGAAAGAAAAAAAAGACAAAGGTATAAAAAAAAAAGATGCAAAGAAAAAGGGGGCTGCATGATAGTGGAGTCATATTTACTCTCATGAGACAAGAGGAAAAACATTTCAAAAGCAGGGCTGAAATTCATCATGAACACATCCCTGTTTCATCTAGGGGACTATAAAACTACCCAAAATTATACAAACAGAGGAAGGTTGCCAGTAGGAAAGTGAGTTAATAGCAAGGAAGACAACATGAATCTTCTGTATCACCTAGATTGATAAGAGATAAGTGCTTGGATGCAGTAGTGAAGAGATTAGTTATCATAAACCAGAATACAAAGCATTATGCAAAGGATGTAAAGCAATGACATGAAATTTGCATGTGTTCTTTACTCTGCTATGTCCACTTCCTTGACATGACTTGGAGATGTTCTTTAAACTTGTGCCTTGTGCTGAAGGCAGTCTCAGAAAGAAGTAAACAATGCCCCAGAAGAGGACCATGGGGGGGTAGAGGTTGAATATATTAAAATAGTTAATTCAAACACTTACTAACCTTTTAATAAAGACTGATAGGTAACCTGGGAAATCAAACTGAGCCTTATTGCCATGTCCAATGATCAACTAACAATGGACATCTAAGAAAAAAAATTTCCAAGTCCCCCTCCCAAACAATTTCCACTCCATGTTTTCCATGCATATAGAATTAACTTTCAGAATAAAATCAGACAGTCATGCCTATGACAACTTATGAGGTCCAACCATCCAAAATTTCACTGGAAGCTGTCCACTTGTGTGGTTTCAATGCAACAAAGAGTTAAATAAGCAAAAGCAAGCAATATAAGAGAATGCTGCAACAATTGGCCAAATGATGTCATTTACATGGGTGAGTCAAATGAAAACAGAACAAAACATTCTTTTCTCCCTTGAAAGCTTCTGAACAAAATTCTTTCATGAGCCTTTTTCTTTGTCAGAATGTTCTCTCCTCACATGTGTGGCATTTTCCTTTTTCTTTCAAATTTCCCTCTAAAAAATTTTTTAAATGTCTTCATCAGGACTGGTTTGTGCCAAGGAAGAGATACAATCAGCTATCCCTTTCCTTGTAGCTGAGGGCAGAAATGGTAATAAAAATTACCTGATACTTAAAGCTATGTATGGTGACAACCGCATTGCAAGGAGCAACATCTAAAAGTAGGTGCAAAAGTTTCCATCTGGAACAACCAGTGTGAAGGGTCCTCTGCCCAGGCCAAGAGCAATGTGTAGCGTAGTAACACTGAAGGTCATAGCACGCATTTAAGAACTTGCGAAACAGAATTGACACATGACCAGAGATGAAATCACTGCCAACCTGGGTAGCCATGGCTCTATCCACCACATTGCTCAGAAGGTCCTTGGATTCAACAAAGTGTGTGTGAGATGAGTTCATTGCCTACCAACAAATGAGATGCAGAACTGATATCAAGTCATCATGCTTTTGCTGCTGAACCGCTTTGAGAGAAGATTATGCTTTCCCTGAACAAATTTTGATGGTAGATGAGATGTGGGTCCACTTTTACACACCAGAAGGTAAGTGCACCAACATAGAACACCAGCACAAGACCTACCTCCCCCGTCCCTCAGTTGTGAAAACTAATTTTTTCCTACAAAGGTAATGATACAATCAAGCCAAAAAGGGGTGAGCCATGGTAAAAATGCATGCTCTACAAAAAGCTTTAAACTAAATGTTTCATGCACACAGTTTGGGTTCAGCTGCACAGACTTTCTGAACAACCTTATACTTGTTTCATGCCTGATATTTTGCATGCTACACTTTACTGAAGCATCAGAACCCTATTTTTTTGGTCTTGGTATATAACACCATTAGTGAAATTGGAAGACTTAATCAAATTCTAGCTAGCAGTGGAAAAGACACTCCAATTACAATTACAATTTCATGGACTCAATAAGAACTATGTCTATCACCTTTTAAGTCATGCAGGGGATTATGAACAAATTAGATCCTCAACACTGCTGCCTATAGCAATACATGACAGAATTTATTGCTTGCCATGTTTAAATAGAATGCTGATTTGCTACATTTGTCACTATCAGGAATATTGGGAAATTCTTAAAACTGTCCTAATTTCGTACACTGCTCAAGAACAGAAGAAAAAAACATCCTCAAATCACCTGGTCACGAAGATTGGGAAGTAGATAAGGATGTAACCGTAATACCCCTTCCATCAATTCCTGAGAGAGAGGAATGAAACATTGCAAAGGACAAACTTTAAATATACAATTGTTAGTGAATTAAGTCATTTCAGACAAGATGAAGAACAGGGAAAACAATGACAACATTAACCCAGGGATCATGAATGATTTCTGGGTTCCCTGATCCCTTAGCTCTCAGACCTACATTAACCTTATGAATTTTCAAGAAATTAGAAACTGAAAGGCAAACTTCCAAACAATAACCATTTCTGTTCTGAATGTTTAAAAGTTCACATAAGTTAAAAGCAGAAATATCAGTTCAGATTTCCCAATTAATCAAGGTCAAGTTTCACTTCCAAAAATCAGCAAAATTAAACCATTACTTTCTTCTCATCTATACCTCCAGGGTACAAATGCACACTAAGACCAGGCAATTGTTGCATAATAAACCATATAACTCCTCATATGTTCACAATAAAGGAAATACAACTTTCATGAGTTGATTGCTTATTTTAAAGAATATGGAAGTATCAGCTTCATGAGAACTAAGCAGCTCTGAACAGCTGAGTCAACTTTGTTATAATGACCTACTTTTCATAAGGTGTAGGATTGGGGGTGTACTAGGTCTGCTTCTTCAACTGAAGATGGCCTTGAAATTAAAACTCTCCTTGTAACAGCAGAATATAACAAGAGCCAGAAGAAAGGAACCTGTCTTTTGGGAAGAGTATACTTAACTTGGAGGTGTAACAATACACAAGGATCATCACTCAAATTTCCATAAGTCTTGTATGAAATGCAATCCTGACAAGTTATTCCAAATTAAATATGAACATCATGGTGATTGTAAAATAATTAATTTCACAATCCCTTCAAGAATTTTTGCAGGTGCAAGCATAGTGCAACTCTTTTAAAACACTTAGGATCCACATTTAAAAATCAAGGCACTATCAAGTGCCTTGATTTTCAACTTCACTTAATAGTGCTTTGATTTTTAAATGTGGATCCTAAATATCTGCCTAATTTTAACATCATTACACTTCTGACTTAAATGTCACTGACAGTAGAGCAATAGGTTTACCTGATTTTCCATTCCAGGATTAGGAAGAAGATTGGGGGAATCCATGGGTGGAATCATGTAACCATCTTGTCCAAAGGGAAGAACAGGATCAACAATGACAGGCTCATGAAGAGAGCCAGGACCAGATGGATCCAAGCCATGGAGGCATGAATTTGGGGGTCCTTGATGGGAATGATGAGGATGTGATGAGTGAACATGATGCTGATTCAGATTGACACCAAAGTCCCCTCCATTCTTCACTTCTTGTTCTTCTGTTGGGCTCTGCTGCCCACTTCTTGCAGCTCTGCAATGTGGTCCATCACATGCATTATATTTAAAGAAGTGCAATCTGAATAAAGCATTCATAGCCTCCATCACTGCATATCAGCCCTGGCAACCTTATGTGCATCACTGCACTGCACATCAGGTTGCCAGGGCTGATGTGCAGTGATAGCAGGCCTCAGGCTCCCATCAGGGATATCAAACTTAGAAACCCTTTTCTCTACCAAATGTTCAGTTTACACTTGACATAGGCTCAGCTGAAAAGTAGAGTGAGATGATCACCAAATTGTACTGAAGTAATCCTTCATACAGGTACCAGAAGCCTTTCTTTTTACATGAGGCTGGTTTCAGCAAAGAACTGAATTTTGCCAGTGCATTTATTCATCTCATGGATAACTTGAAGCACAATAGCTTGGCAGGCAGCCTCAAAAGGCCTCTATTGGCAGTACATGATGGACTTTATCTTTCCAACTCACACCTAGCTCTGAATCATTTAGAATTCAAAGTCATTTTTAAGGATAGAGACCCTCTATATATGCACACGTGCAAAAGACCCATCTTTCCCTTTCCCTTTATAAGTCTTAGAGGAAAAAAATTATTTGCATTTGCATCAATGCATAAAACTTTTTAGAGGAATGCCTTAAAAAAGGACACCAGGCAATTACTTCATGGTCATGTGCACCCATTCAAAATAGCACAAGACAAGCCAGAGAAGAGTTAAATGCAGATAACGAACTCAATTCTAAATCAAGATGTTCAACTGTTGCAGATGGAGGATTCAAATGTAGTTTGACCAAATTCAACCCTTTTCAGAGCTGCTTGAATCCACACCAAAAATTCTTTAAATTAAATTAATTTTTTTTTTACGTTTTAAATCTGTTATCTGCTTCTGCATAATTCCTTTGGTATCACTCATGAAGTCAGACTTCATAAAACTGAATGGTCAAAAAATTCTCTACAAATACTGGATTACAGTGGCTAGTGGCCCTTTATATCTAGTGACCACCTCACCACCAGTACATGGGCAAATATAAGTTATTTAGATTTTAACAAAAAATCTTTGTTATATTACTTTTTAAAAAATGCACCAGCAGTCATTTGTCGGGTGAACCAGAACTTGTAATACTTTGTCATGGAAGTATCAAATGCTTAATCCACTAACGTCTTGCTTGCTCCCAACATTGGGAGACTTCTTATTTGGCAGTGCAGTACTCTTAACTTCTAAGGTAGAATAGAATAGCAGTACTGAGGATTCAGTGCCACAGAATTTTTGTAAAACCAACCCACTTCCTTTTGTCTAGGGATGGGAGTGAGTGGAAAGAAAGGACACCCGCACCTAGATGCCACCTGGGCCAGGTCAAACCCAAGAGGGTGGCAACCAAGGATGAGGTAATAGTCAAAAGACATCCAATATTAACCCTTTCACTGCTATCATCAAGTTGACTTGAGCACTGAAATGTGTATCTTCTTGTGCTTCTTACCCAGGATTTTTTAGGACAATCTGAACCAGTCCAGTTATACACTTACATAATTAGGTAAATGATGGAACATATTTTTTTTTATAAGTAGGGCCCATCATGTTCACTTCACCAGAAGTGAAAAATTCAGCATAGGGATGTGAGAAAAATAATAGTGAAAGGGTTAAGAGTCATTTTAACATTCCTTTTTTTTTTTTATGTCTCTGGTTCTTTTAACACCTTCAGTACAACTGCACACAATGACAGCTTTGGTTCCAAGACCAAGACAAAAATACAGCAGCATTCTGGTATTGTGGAAATATCAAATAGATCTCAAATATCAAAATAACTAAATATCATAAGCAAGACAGTCAAGAGAGATCCTTGTATGATGGATGAAAAAGTGGCTCTAAAGGGCTCCAAGCAAGAAATTAGAATGGTAAAGTTGCCATTTTCAGGACTGCATCAAAACTTGCAATATTTGCCCATCACTGGCAATATGGCAGCATATGTCAACAAAAATTTGAACTGACTGAAACCGTGCTTCTTCCTCAGAAGTCATGCCGTTCTGGATAATGCCATTCTGGCCAGGGTGTCCATTCTCCAAATCAGGTTTAGGCATGGGTGGAGGGGGTCCCATTTCCCCCTTTTCTGGTTCCATCTCACCAACGCCTCCTGCATTCTGCACAAGAAATTAATAACATTATAGAAAGCATACTTCATGTCTGAACTAGAGTTAATATACAATTTCTACTTTCTACACACCTTTCTAGTTTTCCTCAAGTAATACTCATTCCATAGAATGTCAACACATAACCACAGCAAAACTAATATTAAAACATTACACTGAGACTGCCATATTCATCAATTTTGTAAGGCACGATAAATTCAAATTCTTGGTTAATATTGCATGCACAACATGCCAATTTAAAAAAAAAGGGAAAATTGCCTGCTCATTGCAGAATAGACTGATGGCATTAACTAATAAAATCATTTGTCAGCTGAGATTCTAGGCCTAAATAACATTAACAAGACAATGACGCATAATAAACGGAGGAACATTGTCAATGATTAATACTGCATTAACAAAAATATGGCAATCTATCCTCAAGCAAAACAATTACAACAAATGCTATGACCTAAGGTCAATACATTTTAGTTCCAAGGAAGTTTTATCACCATTACTGTTATTAATAAAACCAAATAAGTGATATAGGCACTTTCCCTAAAAAGTGCATGAATGTTTCATACAACTTTAAACTTTTATAAATCACCAACAGATGAATGTACATTGATGTAGTTTGCAACAAACAAAAGCTTGATATTTCTAGTTTCATTACATGCATTTCAAATTTTCAAATAAATTGTTAAAACTATTTTTCAGCTTTTTGGAAGCAAAATGGTGCCTCCACAAGAGGTGAGTGTTGTGGTTTGCAGAGTTGAAGTCAGTCACACAGGTACAGCACCAAGTTTCAGAACTGTTTATGGCAAGGATCCTCCCAAGGTATTGGTATTATCATGTACAATCCTATGAACTATGTACTACCTGGCATGCTGACAATTACATACTATTGCTGAAACTACAAAAAACATGTAAAAATCTAAATATCAATGAACAGGTATAATGCAAAAACCTCCAACTGACCATGGCAAGGGAGCGCATGCGAGCCTCCAAATCCTTGACAGCAGGCGAAGAACCAAGGACGTAATTGACCATTTTGACTCCTAGATCAACTGTTTCTCCAGGGCCTCGGGGGGATAAAACTCCAGGTACTCCTTCAGAAAAATTCCCCCTTGCATGAGGATGAGCATTCCCTACCATCCCCATTCCTTGAACAACTCCATGGTCTACAATGTGGAAAGGCAAATGATTTTATTCATTGTTTGCAGTGAAACACTAAAGCAAGCATTAACACTAGGGACTACCAGAGCAGTCAATTTGAGCACTGTATTGATAGTAGTATCATTAATATTCTGTAACATTTTACTTTTTTTCCCAGATTTTATTTGGCATGTTCAAAACGTTGATAACAGATAGGAAAAATAAATACTGCAGAGGCCCTTAGTTGCCAAACAAGCAAAGGCCATTTAAAATCGGTGAGCAGTCAAAATGAATGTCCCGGTAGATCTAGTGTTAAGCACAATTGAATGGGAGGAATCTTCTTAGAGTTGCAGTCATATTTAACTAGATGCCTGTACAGAACAGAAAAGCAAGATAAGAGGTAATATGCACTCTGGATTGAAATTTGGACTCCACACCACTTTGTCCTTGCTTCTTTTACCTTCCACCTGTTACTTTCCTCTTGATTTCTCTAAATCTCTTCATTAAACAGTAAAAATATTAGCAACAATGTGTACTTCTGCTGCTTTTCCTCTAACCCATACCTATTGCTAACAGAATAATAATAAAAATTACTAATCAATATTAAGTTTAAAATTTCACACATATCTGGAAGAGCCATCACTATTACAGCACTCAGCATTACGATGTTGCTGCTGGAAATATGAAAGAACTATGCCACAGTGACCAGTTCTTTCTGAACAAACCTAACAGTTTCATCCTGTGCAGATTGTGGCACACTGAATGATTAAGATCACATCAAAGTCTGAAGTATACATAGAAATCAGTGGCACCAAGTTGCAAACCATCTCCAACATATTTTTCCACCACTCTTCTTTTCCTTCTGACCCACATATTAGAGAAGTACACATTTACAAATTTTGAAAAACAAGCTAAGAGTAGTCCCTCACAAAATTAACAATACATGAAGAAAACATCAAGTACTACTGCAAACATCATGTAATGCCAAGGTAATACAGGATTAGCTTGTCGTTGAGTTAGAAAAGCTTTCATGAAATGGGATTTCTGTTCAAATTAAAATTTACAAACCTTATCTGCAGGAGAGAACCTTGATGCAGAGTTCTTACAGGATGGTGGCAGGAGATTTGAATGGAAGGGTATGATGTTAGTTGACTTTTAAAAAAATTTACATTTTACAATCTCAAGTTAACTATGTTGCCCACAACACATAAAATCATTTCAAAGGCAAACTGCTATTTTGGAATAACCACAGTGATTAGCTTCCATGTAATTATTTGAGGGATTTGAAGGAAGAAATAATGCTAAAAAATAGGTCGAGATAATTGAAGCATGTGCATTTGCTGGAATGTGTTTATAATTTAAGAAGATTCAGAAAAAGCAGATCAACATCAGGCCAACAATAATTGCATGAGTTTCACTATGCACTTTACACTGGTACTGCCTCTGTGCTATCATAACTTATAATGAGGTAGATACAAATCACCAGAATACTTGTAAATACTAGTTTTTAGGTAACAGCCAAGTCAGCTGATGAATGTAATAACACCATGGATTCCCGCAACATGGCCATGTAAAAAATTGGGTTGCCCCTATGTTAGGCAAGTAACTCCACTAGATATTACATGGACTCCAACCCTTTGACATCATATTTTTTCACTGAAAATGTGCAATTTTTTAAGACTTCAATTTATTCTAAAGGGCCATGAAACAAAAATAATTGCCACACAATTCAAACCAAGCTCAATGTCTCTTTCACAATTTATAACATTTTGAATATATGTTTAATTGAAAGAAAGTGCCATCATGGCATATGCAGTCAAATGATGGCAAGGGGGTTAAGCTATAATATTTCTCAGCTCCATGAATTCATGCTCATGGAAGCAGGATTTCTCAAATTTGAAAATTCAGCAAGTTTGCTTCCCACAACACAGACAGTTAAAGTTCAAGGGCACCTTTCTTGATAAGAATATGTTCATGGGACAATTATTGCCCAGGAGTTGTCTAGGTTTCTTGCCATAGGGGTCTCTGGGGCCCTCAGGTCTGACATGGAAGGGTCCTCTGATAATTAAGGGGGTTACTTTCCAAGTGAAGCACAAGGGAATCATGAAGGATTCCCCAAAAGCAAAAGTCCAGCAATCCAAGTTTATTTGCTGACTTAACATAACCAAGCAGAATGATATTCAATCCAGCAGTCTTAGGTCTTCTGCCTGTGCTTTATTGGACCCTCAGGATGCATGGGCAGGAGGCCAGGGCAAGAAACCTAGTGCAACCCCTGTTACCTATTGCAAGATTGATTCAAATACATGTCTTGTCAATTTCACTGCTTTTCTTTTTACTAGTCCAGTAATTGAAAGAGCCTCAGAACAGGTACAGGCAGGTCAAGGAAAGGAAATTTATTCTAAAACTAGTCAGAATCAAGATGGAATATTGTTTGTGCTGTCATTTCATTCTCATTATTATTTTAAGAAAATCAGTATTTAAGTAAGCTCTCAGCAAACACTCCTAATAATTATGAGGCCAAATGCACCCCAATTCAAAATTAATCTGCTTATTTTCCTCCACTGCTTCATTTGATGTGCACACCATGGACTGAAATTTTTCCTTTAGCACCAGTACTCAGTACTTGGGAGATCTTCAAAAGGCACATCATCGTGCAGTCCAACGCCACATTTGAGAAAATTATTTCAGATTCGCCCTACATAAGTCTGTGATCTTACTACTACATCAAAGAACTTTTAGTACTCTAAAATACTGCGGCACAACTACTAGTACAAATAATACCCAAGTAAACAAGTACTTAGAGTCCTTAAGGTCAGTATGCTTTAATGTACTTTTTAAGTTCTGTAGTTTTCGCTCAAGGTCGGTCAATGCGTTCGGACGCCGGAAGACCATGATCATCTCCAACCAAGTATTTTAAGATCTCCAGTAGTTTTTAAAAATGACGCGAGAAATTCCGGATTGTAAATTTCTGGCAAAATGAAATGGCGATTTCAAGTAATTTTTTCCATGAACGTGAACTTCAGTTTCAAGGAAAGTTGCATCGGGTGGGGCGATTTTGCTGATTCATATTAGATTATCGAAGAGATAATGGATAGGACGCATCCTTATTTCAGATCAAACGAAACCTCTCCAAAATTATGCAATGACATTGTATTCGAAAATTTATAAAATCATGGGTAAACAAATCCAAATGCAGGCTCACTGTTCCTTTTTTTCTAATGTTTTAGAAATCCATTACTTCAACACGTTCAACATTACCTTCCCATTCCATCACTTCTGATACGTTTCCTCTCAGAGGCTCTAGTCAGATGGGATAAATTGAATTGAAAGAGGGCAGGGAGAACCAAGCGCGGGCTTCATGGCTCATTCTCCCCTTTCGCCCCTTGTGCATGGAACAAAGTTGAAGAGGGGCGCATGGAAATTCCGCTGTTTGTGGAAGAGAGAGGCAGAGGGCCAAGGGAAAGCAGAAGGCCACATGGCATTGAAGGGAGAAAGAGGGGGGAGGAGGGTGTGGAGAGCGGGGGGGAGGGGGAGAGAGAGAGAGAGAGAAGGGGGGGGGGAGGGGGAAAGGGAGGGAGAGGGAGAGGGAGAGAATGAGAGAGCGAGGGAGAGCGCCCTCCTGATCAGTGCAGTTAGCCTTGAGCGCGGCTGTTCCCCTCCGCTCCGGTCTAGAGTCCTTCACCGCGCCATACTTCTTCAGGTCATCCCCTTCTCCACGTACATTGCACACATCTACGAAAACACCTCCCTTGCGGGGTAGCAGTAGGAACAGGAGGCCCTTTCATGTTTGTCATAGCCGCCTTCATAACAACACGTGGTTCGTTCCCACAGGCGCCGAAGGGTTAACTGACCGATAGAAATGACCTCAGCTCTCCTGGGCGAGCCATGCCGGATTCTCGCTGGACATTGCCCCTGAGGAATAGAAATTCGAGAAAGAAAAGCATGGCTCACCCCATCTCATGCTGGAACTGTTTCTCAATGGGACATCTATGTCTAGACTCTCCTCAGCAGTCACAACGTCTACCTCTCTCTTCTCAAACAACACAACTAAGGAAGGGTCGGAATCTTCGGTGCCATTTGTACACGATAATCACACTATTTACATGCCCACCTCCAGTAAGAGGCGGCAAAAAGGCAGACCTGGAACATAAGAAAGAAATGATGACACAAAACGTCAAAGGGAATGTTCACAATACAGCAACAATTCACGAAATGTGGAGTGAAACTAAAGGAGCACTCCGCGCGGCGGGGTTTCTACTTGGCATGCGCACACCAGGTCACCAACACCAGGCCCTCTGTCTCGTCGCATTGGCCTTGGCCTTGAAAAAGCAAGACGAGCACGTACCACTGGGTTTCCAGGAGCAGAGAGCAGGGAAAAAAGGAAAGCTGGTCGGCGGAGCATATTTTCTAGAATGGCCTCGGATGGAGGGAACGAGAGAGGAGGGGGGAGGGGGGAGAGGGAAGAGGGGTGCCCAGGTGGAGCGCGGTAGTGGGGGAAAAGCGTCACTTCACTAGAGTTATAGGCCCGGCCCTGTACCATACCAAACTCGTGGCTTGGTCAGACTCCTCGCTCGGTCATGCCGAGGGGATGTTTTCCCCGCGGAAAAGCAGGCAGACATGAAAGAGAAGGGGGAGGGGGGGGGGGGAGATGGGAGAGGACGACAGCGTTCCCCCCCCCCCCCCCCCCNGGGGGGGGGGGGGGGGGGGGGGGGGGGGAGGGGAGAGGACGACAGCGTTCCCCCCCCCCCCATGCTTTCCACTCTCACTCTCAGCTGTCTCGAGGGCAAACCGGCAAAACATTGCCCTGTTGCTCTCCTCGAAACTGGTTGGATCCCCCCCCCCCCGTTTGCCCCTACTCCGCACTCTGCTCGACTAGTCCCTGTCTCTGGGCATGGTTGCCCAGCATCCTAATCTCCTCACTCTCCGAATCGGAATAATCGTGCATCACAATGCAGACGCAAGACGAGAGCATCACTGGAATCGATACGGTGCGAGCCATGCACATCAATCAATAAATATTTTTGTTATCTAGGCATAACAACGTACAACCCTACACAAGGGCATTTGAAGGCTTCTCTCCATTAAAACTACTAGACCAGTAAATGTCGGCAGTATAAGGCCCGTTCGCGTTCTTTTATTTCATTGAGACAATGGCCTTTACTGCGAAGCGGAATTTGATTTCAAACAAGCTGAGCGTAAGATGGCGCGCCAGTACTACGAAATCTCAAAACCGGTCTAAACTTAGCGACCAGTGGTCGTATTCTATTACCTTCATGAAGGTGATTTCCTTCTTAGCAAGGTGCTTAGCAGGTACTTGCCCCATTCAAATGTATGGCCGAGGTTGAGAAATTTGCTTTGAGTCTAAGATTTTAATAGAATACTGCCTCAGGGGCTGTATTCTGTGAAAATCTTAGACTTATTTATTAGAAAATCTTAAGACTAATTCATCCGCGGCCATGCATTTGAATGGGGAAAACACCACCTAAGCACCTTGCCAAGAACCACGCAGTGGCGCAACCAAGGCGTTCAGGGGGTCTGAACCCCCGCCAAACCCCTGCTCATGATGGCATCTACTTCTTTATCCCCCTCTCCCCCGAGGGTGGGGGACGCAGAAAGATATAAGCAAACGACCTCAAAGTGAGGCTGGATAGGCACAATGGTAGGAGGTGAAAGGTGAAGGTCACACAAATCACATGTAGGTACTCGCTTTAGTGAAGTGAACCTGTCAAGGAAGCGTCCAGCACATGTGACGCTACTGAATTTTTCCTGAAAACGGAAGGACGGCAATTCAAATGAAAAGCGTGAATCACGTATAGGTTAACGAATTTCCAGTTTCTTATCTGCGCAGTGAAATTTGGGCTGAATCCCGAAATTAACTTAATTCATTTTTAAGGTTTTTTTTTTCTGATACAAAATGTGCTTCCATCATTCTGAGTTTAAATTCCATTTCCACCATTCATAACATTTTTCTTAGTTTCATTTTCTTGTCGCGTCTTCGCGCCGTTTCGCGTTTTTGTTGGGTATGTCTCTTCTGATGATTTGATAACGTCTTCTTGCATTCGGAGACATTTGAAAGACAGGTCATGAGAACCTCGAACCCCCACAAACTTTAGGGCTGGTTGCACCACTGAAACCACGTTTAAGAAAATAATAAAATACGGTCCCAAGGTTGGTACCATGGCATACTTCTGGGCAAAAAGGCATATCTGACTGTTATTGCGCAAAGAGCTGTAAGACTTGCCATAAGGCAGGTCTTTACCCTGGTACAGTGGTGAGATAGTCAATGACTCTCCCATATTGTGATGACACATCTCAGACCACTCATGGCAAGAACACACATTAAACTAAATTTTCACAGAATATGATTAGTGAACGTAGAAAATGCATCCAGTCTCTTTCATCCAACTACCATGAGCAGAGCTACCAGCATGACTTGCATTGCAAGAAAGTGCAGGGTGTCCTGTTTCTTGGAATAGCAACTGATCACCATTTTTCAACAAATGCAGAGAATGAAGCATAGCAGAAACAGATGTCCTGGTATTGATCCTAGTGATATGAAGCTTCATCAGATAATATGCTTCTTGCATTACTGATCACAGGATTGTGCTACTTAGCCTAAGGGGAAATGTGAAGTCAAACAAATAGCATATTCATAAGTGCCAGAAGTAAATAAATGAAAAAAGAGTATGAAGCTATGAAGAAGCTGGGAGGTTATTTTGCTCATTGATCATGAATTTTATATCAAGCGAAAGGAAATTTTGCAAAATACAAAATACATGGCCAGAGAGAATGACAAGGTGAGCATATCCTTATCAGAGTGATGGATGCACTTCAACCCAAAAAATTTAATCTTTTGCCACAGAGATAAGGAGATATCAGTCCAAAAGGTAATCATTGACATCATAGTCTTCAATCCCATGTATGTCCATCAACCACCCATATGCAGTCATAAAGTGGTTTTTAAGAACCTGAACATCAGTAAATCAACTAGAAAGAGATCAGGCCTATATAAAAGAGAAAAGAATACATATCTACTATCTGTCCCATATCCTCCTGCATCCTCTGTCCAGATTTCTGAATATTCTTTTTTTTTAATTAGTCAATATTTATGGAATTGACCAAAAAGAACAAAAAAAAGCATACAAACCAATAGCAATGAATTCACAGAAACCATTCAAGGAAGTGCTACCAATATTTTCCTAAAATACCATGCAGAGAAAAATGCTCAGGATTCAAGAGGATATGCTCCAACATACCTAGAAGACCAAACATTAGGCCCATCTGACCAAGTCATCTCCCTGCTGAAGAATAACAATAGCAAGAATCCAGGTCCATCTCTAGGTGATTCTGATTAATGAGGATATAGAGCCATGATCTGAGCAGCCACCATTACCAGGTTTAACTTACTGGCCACCTTCCATCCATGCCCACTTTATTTTTGACAACATGCAAAAATTTTCATCTTCCATATTAAATAAAGCCAACCATATTGAGAATTATTTTTCAGTCCTACAATGGCTCTGATGTGTATAATGCACTTGCAATTTAATTTCAGTCCCTTTTCTTTTGGAATCTGTAATTACTACCTCATTATAGACTTATAATGTATATGGGGGACTCAAGTCATAAGACAGAATCTCATTCATTAATTTCAGTGAATTTTGGGTACAGTTGCTTTTTATTAAAATTAAAAATCTTTTTTGACTATCATTTAGCAGGATAAAGTTCCTGCACTCTTTCTTCACCTTGGATTGTTGTTCTCAAACATTCCACAGCATTGGTTTATATTAATTATCTTGGAAGAGTCTTCCCCACTACAAATGCAAAATCATTTCTCGCAAGTGTAAGGAATGTTGTTTCATGCTGAGTTTAGCCTTTCCTGTTCACTCTGAATGAAGTCATCCATTAGTCTTTAAATGCTTGGATGAATTTGTCCATTCTCTTAGCATCATTCAAATTATGCATGAATCATTGAACACCTTAAAACATATAAAGGAGTTGTTTTTTATAATCCCATATCTATGCAAGCCATATGCAAATCTTGCAAATATGTTACTTTTGTTGCACCAGCTTTGACATTAGAATGCAAAGGGCATAACAAATAGATGTAGCCATGTCATTTTAAAATTAATTTGGCACAGTCAATAGTTTGTAAGATAATTATCTAAATACATCTTTGCTGTATTAACAATTACAAAAATTAAGTCAATCTTCTTGGGGAACAATTCCTCTCCCTCATGAGGAGAGAAATGAAGGGTGTGCTAGAATTTTGGTGGGAGTGTATTGATGTCTTGATGGTTGAGTTGTGTGCAAGATACACATTGCTCATTAAATGTCAATAATCAGATACTATATCAATAGGACTTCACCTCCAGATATTCCTTTTTTCCAATCTACAATTATATGAATATGTTTGGTCATATAGGTCTCTTTGATACATAAAGTAAAATAATGATTTATGGAAGAATGGATGGACAGACATTTTCAAGAATGAGTCAATCTTAGGTTGAAGGATGCTGCCTGAGTAGCAGAAGAGTAGTAAGGGTTCAAGGAACACTTTCAAGAAAGTGCCACTGTTGCAGCTTGGCACCTTGCACCCTCTCCCCAGGATCGAGATCCAATACTGGTAGTTATGTATGTACAGGAATAACAGGCTTGAGGCTGAATGGCCAGGGCTAATTTTCAAAATTCTCACCTTCACTGGATACAGCTTCCCTTCTTTATATAAAATTAACTTTTTTTAAAATCAACATATGCTAATAAACATACCATCATGTCCAAATATGCAAGATTTTACTATAGCATCATAGCCAGGTCATGCATAATTCCATCTTCTTTATACTTGAGAGAAATTACCCAAGGAGCAAGCCTCTACCATGGGTCATCAGTATGCAGAGGTGTACTAACATGAATGCCAGTCAACAGCCACAGAGACAGGGACATGAGTCAACAGAACAGACCAATACCTACTACTACCTGGACACTTTGAGGGTGATTCCTTCAGTCGCCTGGGTCACACAGGCCCTAATCAAACCTTGCCCTGCATGATCAGGCCTTGGGCTCCAAACAGATTATGCTTACGACTTAAGTAAGATATTCAGGGCCTTGGTGTAACACTAGCGTTACACTAGTCATAACTCTAGCTCATGTGACTACGATGAGGTCTAGAGTCATATACTATCCCCTCTCATGATTTGGCTTCACCGCTGTTACTATGCAAAGTTACACACAATAGGCCTATATATATATGCGAGTCGTGTAAACAAGGATAGGTCCTCAGTCAGTCAGTCACTGGATGCGTTTTCACGGCATCGAGAGGGTTATCTGATATCAAGAAATGGGCACGACAGTCCGAGATAGATAAGCGCAAGCAAGCAGCAGAGCATGCGGTCTACAAGAAAAGCCGCCATGATCTCAACAAACAGTAGGCGGTGGCGCTTGCGCTTTGCAGTGCTGTCCGATCCCTTCCAATAGCATAGGTCTCGTTATTCTCCGTCGCAGATTCAGAAACTTTTCAAAGCAACCATTACGGGATCATTCAGTCTAAGAACTTATGAATAGAAGGATAAGATGTTATTTTCATGTGAGAGGGAGATAGAACGTCAGACCATATTAATTACAATTCTCTGTTCCCCGCCACGATTTTCATTGCCTAGCGCCAATGCGACACCTACAGTATCCCGACGCTAGCAACGTGATGTTTAGAAATGTCGGTAGATTTCGCATCTCGTCAAGGGGAGTTCGTACAAAGTTCAAGGAAGGTTCCAAACCTTTCGGCAAGCCATAGTCTGTAGATGTGGGTATCATACAGTGAGTGACAAATGTCTAGAGTCATAGGATTACAGCGTACAGATTATTTCCTGCCTGTTTGGCTGATAGACTTTCCTGCCTACGATACGATGCAGTTATCCCAAAATTATTTTAATCACAAAATATTATCCAAATGACCCACCCATATTAACTTATTGAGACACCCTGCTTAAATATTCTTTGGAATTCAGTCAGTATATAAGTCATTTTGGGTCACTATGGGTCACTTTAGTCAACTTCGGCAATTCTTGGATAATTTGGCTCCGTCAGGTCAATTTGAGTCACTCCGAAACACTCCGATTTTACTATTTTTAAGATATAACAATAACCTATCTAACAATATCCCATCAAGTAGGCATATGTGGGTGCCGAGAGATGCTACTTCTTGGGGATTCTAAAGAGGTCAGGACAAAGGAGCAGAAGTCAGAGGTTGGCTGTGTTCCTTGCATGATATCCCTTCATTGTTGAGGGAGCTACTGACCTGAAGTGTCTGACAGGAAAGTTTCTCTTATGAGACGTGCGAACCGCTTTCGCTCGGAACCTCTGAATGGCTCTATCCTGAACGTTTGTCGCGGAGCACTTTCTCTGGTCACTTAGCTGAATACGGCGGAGATGATAATCTCTCCTAAAAAGTTACTGAGAAAATCAGAACTAGGAATTTCTGGCAAAAGTATTTTAGGATACCTGGACTCTTTTTGAAAATCGTATCGACAACTTCCGGGAAATTTGGTAACTTTATAACCCAATTCAATTATGATCATGTCAACTGAATTATTGTTGCAGAAACTTGAACTAGCTCCCGATGCTTTATGCATCAGGAGCTTTTGTGGGGTCAGAAACAGTGAAGTTTTTTGTCCCATTGTTCCCAGTTCTCTTCGTCGTCAATTTGTCGCATCAACCAAGAAAATATCCCTCGTGGCCTAATATTTTTGACACGGATCCTCGAGGGAAATTCCTTGCTGAGATCTGCTAGTTATAAACTGCTTTAAACTGACAAGTTAAATAGCATTCGTGGTATTTCCCCGAAAATCGCAATTTGACCCACAGTGTTTGTGTCACAGTGAAAGCCCAGCTTTATTCACTCGAGACCGAAACCTTCAGCATTGGAAATGGCGATTGTGAGTTTCTCGCGCATTATGTTTCGGTTTTTATAAGTCGGTAGGACCAATTGATTGAAACAGGTGTGAGCCTGGGGAAGCATGTCCAGGCTCTCCCTTTGAGCCGAGATCTTGAAGGTCATCTCAGAGATTCCTCCGACCGGGATCCGGTCACTCCCGGTCGTGAAGAGAAGGAACTTCTTCTGCAAGTCCGTCGACAGCGATAGGAGGATCTCCCAAAAGTCCCTGCGGTCAAACATCCCTTCGTGAGATTTTCTTTAGTTTTCTTTTGCTGAAAAGCGGGATAGGGAATTTTTCCTACAAGATGTCGGGGTCGCTGGAGGTGAATCCGTCATACTCGACGACCTTCTTCAATTCCGATAGATCACAGTTTGGAGAACCACAAACGAGCATTTCCACCTCTTCGGGTCGCAACATCTAAAAGCACATGGACACATTAACGCTAATTCCATTCCGCTTGGACAAAGTCAAAGAAGGACGTACGATAAGTGCATTGGAGGCACAGACACTGTGAAATCCGAGGTAGAAGGCCCGAAACTGTTCGTAAATGCCTGAATTTAGAACGAAGTCCAGGTACAGCTTCACGAACTCTTCCCTGTTCTCATTTGTGACAGGTAGCTGATCCCCTGATTCCTTCAGGTTATACGTCTTCACCTTTCCGAATTCTTCCACAGATACCTTTTTCAACAATCCAGGCACTGAGTTGATATTTCCTTCCCCTACTAGAACGAATCCGAACCCCCTCATTCCTTTCATTTTAACTCACCTGAAAGCACATGCAAAAATCCTCTTCCACGTCCCCTTCATGCACTAGGAGATCTTTGAGAGACGAAGCCACCTCCTGGAAGGAAAGATATTTGCAGCTGAAAAATGTTTCCGCGAGTAGTAATAGAAAACGACGACATGCAAGGAAGCTCACAGGCATGATCTCGGCCAAATCGATTGTTGAGGGTTCCCGCGCCAGTCCTACGGGGACATATTCGAAATTGGGGACCACAGGAGGGCTAAGGAGCTTCCGGTAGCAGACGTGAGGGAAATGGAGGTCCAGTATGATCGAGTTGTACACAGCTAATCCCATGAGGACTCCTGCGTAGGGGGTCATTAATTATAGAATTCCATGAATTCTTGCTGCAGCGAAACGAAGTCGGTCCATGAAGAAAAACTGAAAAGGACTCACCTATCAAGTTGTATTCCCGGAGATTCCCACTCTGGCTCAGGCTGAACCAATAGCACCTGGATCTTGAGTGATATACGAACATCCCGTAGTCCGGCTGGAGCAAGTCACAAAAAAAGTATAATTCCAGAATTAAATCCAAGCCCATGGAATCCAAGTCGATCCAAGCCGATGGAGGAAAAGGAAGAGCGTACTTGAAAAACCTGGCGAATGAGGAGTTGAAACCATTCTTTGGTGAGTCCTCCCATGTCCAACCCGGGTTCTCCCTCGAATGTCACCTTCAACTTCTTCTTCAGGTCCCGCTGTCTCCTTCCAATCTAGTGAGATGGAGCTTCATCGTCATGCAATTCGCACAGACCAGTGAGAGCATTTATGAGCGATTCGCAGACCTCTCTCAGAGAATCGGGGACGAGGTGAGCCCTGCGAACGCTGATATTGAGGAAGAATACCTCGATGTCCGGGATTTGATGACGCGATACTTTGGCAACTAAAGAACGCCTTGCAGTGAGGATCATCTGCTGCTCTGAATCCTGTACGTGAATAAAAACTCAATTATCAGCGGATATGTTTTCTCTTTGTTCGGTCGACACCCGATCGACTGACTTTGGTGAGGATATAGCGCTTTGCGACAATGGAGAGGATGAAGGGATACTGGCAGAATGAGAACCTATCAGGGCGTTCAGGGGCCTGCCAGGACATGTATTCATCCATCAAGTCCAAGTGATCCAGGGCTGAATTGTAGAAGTCCGTGTAGTGAATCAATGGTAGTGACCTTGTGTTGTTTGCAACATCTGGTGGACAAAAAATGTTTTACTTTTATTTTTTGATTCGGCCTTTCCTAGATCCTCAGGAACACAATCCTCAGTGTTCAGAACCCTCATCCCTGCCACGCGATCGAACTCAAGCGGATGTGAAAGGACTTCGAGATGACGTGAGCAGTCGCATTGGCTCCAGGAGGTGTTTATGTAGAGAGCGACCGATCAGATCACGCATCTGTGCTGACGTCACTCCAACCTTCCGAGAAATACGATGGGAGAGGAAGAGCCGAAAAGAACTCACTGAGCAGTGCGAGGACCCTGGTCGCAGTGGGGACCCACCATTTAGACTTGCTCATCGGAGGCAAGGACATGTCTGCTGGGGGGAATCGACGGACTGTTATGAACTGCAGGAGATGCTGGACCAAGGCACTGAAGCGTTTGATCTCCAAACTGTGAAGTTGAGATAAGTAGGAATATTGTAAGCAGATTGATGCTTACTCGTTCCAGAATCGAATGGAATAGGAGGGGAAGACGGTACGTTTTGAACCAGCCGACGAGGAGCTGGTGATCAGAGGAAGGAAGAGCAGTGACGTGCCGTAAGAGGTGAGCGAATACTGTGTACGAGGATTGCACGGCGAACATGGGCGCTTGTAGGAGCACGAACAGCGCCCGCACGTACTCAATCCCTTGCAGGCTGCACCAAGATTAATCATGCTAAATTGACAAAAGCTATATTTTGTGTGTGAAGAGTAACAGGCTATGGATTAATTTTTTTTTAGTCCTGTCGTTCTACTCATTGGCACACAAGAGGCACATTGGGGCAACGAATCGAACCGGCAAAAGGTTGGTGTGCAATTAATTGCGAGAAGCAATTATTCGCGAATCGTTCGGGCAAAACTGGGTCACGTCCTGCAGTTTCCTTTTTAACTGGTCGTTCCCATAACGATAGAGAAAAATGGCAGATATTAAGATAACATCGGCTTGTTACTTTTTCTTTCTCTTCTTTCCTTTCTTTTCATTTCTTCTTTTCGTTTCGTTCGTCCGCATTGCCATGGCAACCTTTTGTGCGGGTGATAACAGCATAGATCTCAACGTTACTGCATCATGAGAACCGATGAACAATTATATTGGGTTGGAAAGAAAGTCTTGCAACACTGCGCAAATTTGTCAAAATTTTATAACTTTATTGAAATGCAATTTCAG